TGTTATACAGATAGCGCAAAATGAAGATCTAAACTAAAAGAGATCTAAAGAAAGATAACCCAATCAAAATTGTTACAATAAGTTTGATTCTTTTGATTTATAAATGTTATAATAGGTTTAGGTAAATTATATTGAAAAATTATCCATAATGTTATATGTGAAGACTGACAAGCAACATCATAAATATTTCCGTATGTAAATAATTTTGATCTAATATCAATATTATCAATTGTAGTAATATTCCAAATATTAGATTCAACTTGTACTTGATCAGAAGAATTTGTTGAATTTTTTTGTAAATTTTCCAGATAATGTTCCCATTGATCCGTATGAGATATTATATTAACTTCTTTTAAAAAATTATAAACTGAAGAAAGAAGATTAGGCTTTCGACATAAACTTGTCATTATATGAGAAATCCAAATATTTATATCTTTAAATACGGTATTTAAAATAATTGATGATATAAAAACTGTTATTTTTTTGATTTTTGCTAAATTAATTGGTTTATATTCTTTTTTTTATTATTTTGCCTTGCGAGCAGCTGAAATATTTCATTTACCTTCCAAATTTAATATAAGTGTATCAAAGAAAGATGTGAGTGATCTTGGAATTACTAAAAAATATTGATCTAATATTTCTGGACTTTCCAATAATGTTATATTTTTTTGAAGTTCTTTCTTTGATATCCAAATTATATTTGTTATTATATCATCCAAATCAGAAAAATATTCAATAAGCTTTTTGATATTGAAGAAATATTAATGTGCTTTAATTTAATAGCCATATTAATAGTAAATAAACTAAGAGGCTGAATTATTGATTGAACTTCTGATTGTAATGATATTTTTGAAGATTGTGTATTTAAAATTTGTAAAATTGGACTTAAATGAGATAAAAGAGATAATTTTGTATCTGAATCATCAGATTCAGCTACATTTAATATCTATTTTTCTAATAATTGAAGAGATAATGTAGTATCATTGTCATGTAACTTGTTATCTTTACAAGTCATAATAGATTTGCCTTTTCCAGAATGATGATAGAGATGCCTACTATTCTTTTCAAAACAAGTGCAATAAATGTAATGTAATCTTGTAATCTGAGTAGTTGGATAAATAACAGAGTGATAATTTTGCTCTTTTAATATTAGACAATTAACTTGTCTAATACATGGAATCTGTATATTACATCTAATAATATTCCATAAATGTTCAGGATATAACTTTTCACGACTATAAAAATATTTATTAATTCCACAGTAAATATATCAATGATTTTTTATACTACTTTCAGATATATTTGATATTTTTTTAAGTTCTTGTTGATATAAGTAATTCTGATTAAAAGCATAATGATTTTGACATACACCTAAATTTTGAAATTTACTCTCAACTTCTTGAAGTGCGCTTGCTTCAATTTCTCACATATCAACAAGTTGTTACAATTTTCTAAGCTTGATAGTAGAATTACATTATCATATTTCATCATCAAATATATCAACTATGCAACAGGATTTTAGTTTTAAATAACTTTTATCAGTATTCAAAGGTAAAACTATTTGTTTATCACTTTCTGCTGAAAAAGTAAACTCTGTTCTGACTTCAAATAAAAGTTCATCAATATCATTTAATATTTCTAACAATTCTTCATTTTCATCTTCGGATGCTGATTTTTCTATTGCTATTTTATGAGCTGAAGCTATAATTTTTTCATTTATTGCAAAAAATATATCATTATCATTATTATCTACAGTTTCATCATCCTTTATAATTTCATTATCTGTAGTTTTCTTTATCATTTCATCATCTGTAGTTTACTTTATTGTTTTATTATCACTTGTAATCTCATGAAATAATAATGTATTATTCATTTCTATTATTATTGCCAAGATGAACTAAATTAAAACAAGTCAAACAAATTTTAATAATAAGAGAATTTATTGATTTTATTATACATGAGAAAATTAGTTTACAGAGGAATAAAAATAGCTGAAAATTGGCATATTGAATTTATCAAAGTATTAGCGTTAATATAAATAAATTAATCCAATTGTAATGAGTTTTCTTATCATTATACATATAGTTAGTTTAATATTCTTTTGAATATTTAACACATTTTTAATAACTTAATATTGATATCAATATCATTATTATAATGGCAATTCACATGATGATCATTTTATTTTTAAAAAAGTTAACAATTTTATAACAAAGATTTTCTTTTAACTAAAATTATTACTAATAAACTAAATAAATATTTTAATAGACCAAAGCAAAGAGATAAACTTTTAATAATAAGTAAATATGTATTTGTATATAAAAGAAAGGTTTATAAAGAAATAAAAAATGAATACTCATAGCATTTATATATAAAAATTGAAAATTTATTATGTAAAAGATTTTCTAATTTTCATAATAAATGCATTTGACCCACAAAAGTTGTGACATATTGATTATTTAATATACTACAATAAAAATATATCATTTTATTCAGTAAAAGCAGGACTTTTTATATATATAATTAATATCAAGTTAGATATCTATTAGCATCAATTATAGCTCATATTCTTCTCAGCATACTTTCAACCAAATTTCTTAAAATTTCTGGTTTAATCATTTCCTATTCTGCAAATGCATCCATTAATTCTTCTAGATTTTTGAGGTGAGTTGGATGTGCATGAATTCATCTTTCTAAAACATCTCACAAATGCTCAATTAGATTTAGATCAGGGCTCTGGGCAGGCATGGAAGTGAAGTGATTAAATTTTCCTCTTTCCATTAACTGACTATATCATATCTGTGGACTGGTACATTATCATCTTTTTTAAGATAAATAGACTATCTGGCAAATTATTTAGAAATGGCAGAAGTTCTGTTCTATTATTTCTATATACTTTTGACTAGTTATTCCACCTTTAACTTTGATTAATAGTCTAAGGAATTTTGAGTAAAATATTCTCATATCACTATTTCCTGACTATCTGATTTCATTCTAGAAAGAAGACAATTAACATTATATTTTTCATGTGGTTGGTATCAAACCCATTGCCAGAAATTATTTCAGAATATTAAATATCTTGATTCATCATTCTAAATTACTAATTCCCATTCACTAATCCAATCTTTTCTTTTTAAGCATCATTTTAATCATTTTTTACAGTTTGCCTCAGATACAAAAGATTTTCTAACCCTAGCCTGACCATATAATCTATATTCATAAAGAGTATATACTTATAGCAATATTGAATTTTTCGATAATTTCATTAACTGCTTGTTATTGATCATCTTTAATATTAATTAACCTTTGAATAGCTCTATCATCTAATTTTTGTTATCTATCACTCTGGGTGGCAGCTGTAGTTTGACCAAACTCTTGTATTTATTAATAATAGTATGAATAGTAAATTTAAATTGTTCTAGAATACAGTGTGTTACAAAAAAAATAGTGCACAAATAACTTATATATCTTAATAATTATCTAACAGAAATAAATGAAAGTGAACTTATTTTAAAGCTTATAAACTACTTTATTAAATATAAAAATTTTAATATGAAATTCTATTCCCATTTTTTTGTAATACTAGTTAACAATAATTTTTTATAGATCTGATTAAATTTTGTATAATATTCTGAAGAATTTTATCCCACTCTTTTATTATAAATTGCTTTAACTTACTAATATTTTTAGGTATTCATTTTTTTATATTATTTTTAATAATCAGTTACATATTCTTGATGAATTCAAATCAGAACTGTTAGATAGTCACTTCATTATATAAATATTATTTTAGGATAAAAAATTCTTTGCAAAATATAAAGTGTGCTTAAAATTATTATTTTATTATAGATATCATCTTCTATCATATAATAATTAGTTAAATAGAACAAATAGAAAAAGCTAGATTTGTAAAATATTTATATAAAAGAAATTATTCATTATATTTATAAAGTAAAATACTAATCTTTTAATTTACATGCCATTTTTTTTGTAACACATTATATTTTTAATCTTTTTTTCAAATAAATATACTTCCAAGTACCAACAATCTCATCATACTCAAAATCTGTAAGTTCATAATTTTGATAAGTATTAGTTGAATTTGATATCAGTGTTTTTTATTTAAAAGCTTGAGATTTTAGTATTTTAATAAAGTAATATGTATTATAATTGAATCTTTTCTTGTTATATAATAGATATTTAAAATTATTTCTTAATTATATCAATCATTATCTGATTGCAAACTTTTTATCACCAAGTATACATATATAAAATCACTTTTCTTGGATCAAATTTCAAATTTCCTAATATAAGATTTATTTCTAATATAAGTTATAATCACAGATTGATTTTTAATTTGAATAAATAATATGATATAAATAAAAATGAATTAGTTTATAATATTTAACTAGTAATAGTTAATATTATCAAATATTAATAGAAATTAATAATATTGATATATTATAATATGAAATTAAATTATATTATTATATGGATTCTGATTCACATAATATTAAATATGAAATAAAATCTTGTAATTAGTAAAATTAGTAAAATATATACAACTAGATATAATAATATAAAGTCTCAGATTGATATATTATTAAGAAGATACTTTAATATAAAGCAATTTCAAATATAAGAAAATATATCAATAAGATACTAACTAATAAACCAAAATAAAAATAATTTATTAATTTTAGTAATATAAGAAAAATAAGATCAAAATAAAAATAGTAAAAGAAAATTTAATTATAAATAAGAAGAACTTTGAAGTAAAAAGATAATATAGAATTATAATTAAAGAATTAAGTTTAATAAAACTATAAAAGTTTTTATTAAATAAAATAAATATTATTATTATTCTTAAATAAATACATATATTTCTTTAAATTATTATTAATTTATTTTCATACTCTTTATTAATAAAACAATCTATCCTAAGAGTATAAATATTAAATAATAAAATTGTAATATTATAATTAATAAATTATTTTTTTAAACTAAAACTAATATTACTATAGTAACATGAAATTTAATTTCCTAATCTTTTCTTGATTATGCAAAATCACATATTTCTATAATTTTTGTTTAATTAATAAATATTTCTATTTTTTATATCATATTTATTTTTATTATTATATTTATTATTATGTTTCTATTTTTAAATATTATATTTATTCAAGATTTATATTTTTGTAATATGATATTCATATATATAATAGAATAATATAGTAAAAGATTATTTTTAATTTTGATAGAACTGTTATATTTGGAATATTGATCATAAATTCTTTCTATATCTTTTAATATCTTTTTATATCTTTTTATATTTTTCAACATCTTTTTATATTTTTCAATATTTTTCAACATCTTTCAATATCTTTTAATATTCTTTTATATTCTTTAACATTCTTTAATATTTTTTAATATCTTTTAATATCTTTTAATATATATATTTCTAAATATTAATAGTACTTTAATTATTATAATATATATATTTATATAGCATTAACTAGTAATACTATAATAATTTATATATTTGAAAAATATATAAAAGAACCTATTATCCTAGCTTGAAATAAATAGTTTTGAATTAAATTATTTGAAAAATATAATTAAAAAGCTTATTATTATAATAATATTAATCTTTTTACAAAATTTCTTTTCTAATCATATTAATACTCTTTCTTTTACTTGATTTTATTTCTTTGACTATACAAAGTTGATTTTGAATTTTTGAATTATAATATTATATTGATTTTTAATTTTTAATATTATTTTGAAAGTAAAAGATTTTTATTATAAATAAGCTATACTTTTTGTTTTATTTATTTTGAGAATAAAAAATCTCTATTATAAATAAGTCATATTCTATTTTTGTTTAGTTATTTAATTTATATATTTTAGTTTTTATCTTTTATAAGTCAGAGTTTTCTTTGATTGATAGTAGCTTTACTATTTAATTTTCTCAAATCTTGAATTATATCAATTACTAATGACTTTACTAAGCTAATTTTTATAATTTCTTTGATTTAATTCTTTTTTTATTTATTTTACTCTTTTTAAAAATAATATCTGTAGATATTAGCACAAATTTTAGAAATCTTTGTTATTATTAAAAGTATAATCTAATTTTTTTCTCTTTATTCTTTAATTATTTTAGTTTTTCTCAACTTTATATTATTAAGATAAATTCAAGTAAAAATTCACTTATCAATTCACTATAATATATTTTTGATGCTCTTTTTATGAAGAAAGATTCTCTCTATATTATATATCTTATTATATTTATACTCTTTTTATATTTCTTTTTATATCTCTTTCTTTTTATCTATAATTAATAAATACTTATATCTTGAGTTTTCATGATTAATTATTATTCTTTTATTAAACTTTCTATTAATTATTATCTTGAAATACATAAAGATCCTAATTTTACTATTAGAATTCCTGTTTAAGACTTTTGCCTCTATTGTCATCTTCTTCAATCAAATTTTTCTTTACAATTTTATATCTTTCACCTATTTATAAAAAATATTGAAGTAATATCAATTAATCAAGTTATATATTTGTTATTTCAAGAATTATTTCAACTTGATCTTAATAAAATACATATTAGCTAACTGAGACAAAGAATAGTATAACTAGTAAATATCTTTATTTTTGATTATATCAATACTCAAGAAGAATAACTCAATTTAATTAAATAATTTTATCAATGATTTATTTTTCAAGACTTTATCTTTTAATCAAGAACTCTTTTTGTTAATAGTAATATTGACAAATACTATTCTAAAA